TCACCACCATCACCACCATCACCATCACCATTACCACCATCACCACCACCACCACTAATCACCACTACTACCATGTTTCTCCAACAGGAAAGTGGCTCAGACATAACTAGCACAGGAAATAAGAAAGTTCTGAAACTTTATTTTTTATTACACTTTCTTATTCTGTGGTTCTCTCTCTTTCCTAATTCATTGTATTTTTATGTGGTATTGCATTATAGACAGCTTTGGGGAAATAGTGGATTATTCTGCATAAACTTGTAGTCATTCTTAAAACACGGGTGGGAGAGCGGGAAGGGTCCCTCCCTACAAGGCGAAGTGCTGACCTCTCTCCATGGGTACCACCTGCTCCTCTTACCCCAACAACCCACCAAGAACCATGGACCTAGCAATTTTTTGTTCACTTCTAAAATTCTTTCTTGAGTGTTCTGACCTCACCTTTGAAAATATTTGGGGTTTATATATTTATATAGATTTGCAAAGTTACTCTTGCTTTGCAGCTTGTTTTCTCAGTGCTCCTAGTCAAGTAAGCTGCAAAAAGAGAGATATGTCCTTTAAGTACATTCTTTCTTGTTGTGCTAGGTGTCCACCATGGCACGCATGCACACACCCCCCCACACTGATAAATATAGCATTGTTTTTATTTTATTTATTATTTTATTTTTATTAGTTTCAGGTGTACAAAACAACATAATGATTAGACATTTACACACCAGACAAAGTGATAACCCCAACAAGTCTACTACCGTTCTGACATCCAACATAGCTATTACAATACCATTGACAATATTCCCTATGCTGTACTTTACATCCTGTGACTATATACTCGTGTGTGTGTGTGTGTGTATTTATTTATAGTTGACATTCAATATTATTTTACATTGGTTTCAGGTGTACAGCACAGTGGTACGGCGTTCATGTAACCTATGGAGTGATTCCCCTAATAAGTCATCTGACACCCTACATAGCCTTTACAACATCATTGATTATATTCCCCATACTGTATTTCACATCCCTGTGACTATTTTGTGACAACCAGTTTGTACTTTCTAATCCCTTCCCCTTTCTCCGCATTTCCCAAGCCCCCTCCCATCTAGGAACCAGTTTTTTCTCTGTATCTGTGAGTCTATTTCTGTTTTGTTTGCTCATTTATTCTGTTCTTTAGATTCCACATTTAAGTGAATCACATGGTATTTGTCTTTCTCAGTCTGATTATTTCAGTTAGCATAATATCTTCTAGGTCCATCCATATTGTTGCAAATGGTAAGATTTCTTTCTTTCTTTCTTTCTTTCTTTTTTTTTTTTTACGACAGAGTAATGCTCCATTGTATAAATGTACCACAGTCTCTATACAATCACCTATTGATGGGCATTTTGGTTGTTTCCATATCTTGGCTATTGTGAATAAGCAGCAGTAAGTATAGGGATGCATATACTTTTTTTGAATTAGTGTTTTGAATTTCTTTGGATAAATACCCAGAAGTGGAATTGCTGGGTCATAAGGTAGTTCTACTTTTAATTTTCTGAGGAACCTCCATACTATTTTCCATAGTGGCTGCACCAATCTGCAACCCCACCAACAGTGCGTGAGGGTTCCCTTTTCTCCATGCTCATGCCAGCATGTGTTGTTTGTTGATTTATTGATGATGGGCATTCTGACAGGAATGAGGTGGTAGCTCATTGTGGTTTTTATTTGCATCTCTCTGATGGTTAGTGACATTGAGTATCTCTTCATGTGCCTGTTGGCCATCTGTATGTCCTCTTTGGAGAAATGTCTCTTCATGTCCTCTTGTCCATTTTTAAAAATTTTTATTTTTAGCTGAGCCATCTTGCCACCTCTTGGCAGCTCAGCTCGGGCCGGGGCTCCGAACCACTGTTATTCAGAGCTTGCACTCTTTTTTTTTTTTTAAAAGAGTTTTATTGGTGAATTGGGGGAGGGGAACAGCGCTGGGGAATTGGGGGAAGGGGAACAGACAAGTTGCTGTCGTTTTGTTCTTCAGTCTAGTTGTGGAGGACGTTGCTTCACTGGCCCAAGTTGGCACCATCATTGCGCTCTTCCCGGGGGAGTCAGATCAGTCACTGGCTTCTGAACGGCCGCTCACTGCGGCTGCTGGCCGCTCACGCTGGCTGCTGGCCACACACCGTAGCCCATGGCAACCCACTGCCGCAGGGGCTGCAGCCTACGCCGTCGCCGGTGACTCATGGCAGCCCAGCTCCAGGTTGGGCTGTTGTTCAGCATCTTAGCTGTAGAGGGCAGTGTCACTGGCCCTCATATGTGGGATCCGAACAGGGGCCCTCTGGCGTCCCAAGCCAGCTCTTAAGCATCGTGCCACTCGGCCGGCTCCAGAGCTTGCACTCTTAAGCGAGCTCTTAATCAACTGAGCCACTTGGCCGGCCCTGTCCATTTTTTAATTGAATTGTTTGTTTTCTTGGTGTTGAGTTGTATGAGTTTTTAAAATAAATTTTGGATATTAACCCCTTACCAGATGTATCACTGGCAAATATCTTCTCCCATTCAGTAGGATGTCTTTTTGTTTTGTTGATGGTTTCCTTTGCTGTGAAAAAGCTTTTTAGTTTGATGTGGTCCCATTTGTCCATTTTTTTCTTTTGTTTCCCTTGCCCGAGGGGATATAGCAGTAAAAATATTACTAAGGGTACTATCTGAGAGTTTATCTTCTATATTTTCTTCTAGGAGTTTTATGGTTTTGGGCCTTACATTTAAGTCTTTAATCCATTTTGAGTTTATTCTTGTATACAGCATAAGGAGGTGGTCCAGATTCATTCTTTTGCATGTATCTGTCCAGTTTTCCCAGCACCATTTATTAAATGGACTGTCTTTACCCCAATGTAAATTCTTGCTTCCTTTGTCATAGATTAAATGACCATATAAGGCATGGATTTATTACTGGGCTCTCTATTCTGTTCCATAGATCTATGTGTTTGTTTTTATGCCAATATCATGCTGTTTTGATTACTATAGCCTTGTAGGATAATTTGATATCAGGTGGCGTGATACCTCCAGCTTTGTTGTTCTTTCTCAGGGTTGCCATGGCTACTTGGGGTCTTTTATGTTTCCATATAAATTTTAGGATTATTCTAGTTCTGCCAAAAATGTCATTGGTACTTTGGTAGGGATTGCGTTGAATCTATATATTGCTTTGGATAGTATGGACATTTTCACTGTGTTAATTCTTCCTATCCATGAGCACAGTATATCCTTCCATTTATTTGTATCTTCTTTAATTTCTGTCTTCACTGTCTTGTAATTTTCTGAGTTCAGGTCTTTTACTCCCTTGGTTAAATTTATTCCTAAGTATTTTATTTTATTTTATTTTCTGGATACAATTGTAAATGGGATTGTTTTTTTAATTTCTCTTTCTGATAGTTTGTTATTGGTGTATAAAAACAATTTCTGATTTCTGAATATTAATTTTGTCTCCTGATACAGCATTACTTTTAAAAGCAACAAATTCTTCATATCAAATTATACTATACCTAAACACATTGAAGTTTAGGGTCTTCCTCTTCCTACATCCTCCACTCACAAAATTAGATGTAAAGGACTCTAGGGGGTCTTTGTTATAGCAGCTAACCTATGCTGACTAATAAACATCATGGTTAGGGCACATTTGGTTCTGTTTGTTGGTTTGATTAGTTGATTTTGGCGCTAGGGGGCACTGTTTACTTGGATACCGATTAAACAAGCATTTAGGATTATAAGACTTTTAGGGTAAACATTTTTCAAATATAATTTTATAATTTCAAATATAATTTTAAAGACTGCAATCAGGTAAAAACATTATGCTGCTAAGTATCGCAATTGCTTGAGTTATACCAAGTGCTCATGGTTTTTCCATTATTTCATTTTCCGATCTAAGGAAAATGTCTTTTTTCATACTACTGCAGGAAAATTTACTTTGTCTCCCAGCATAAAATAGAAACATACTTTTGTGTTACCCTGTGAGACTCCTGGCCCAGCGTGTGTGGGTGTGTATGTGTGTTCATAGGCGGGGGGGATGGGGAGTGAAGTTCATCCCTCTAGGTGACTAAGTCCCCTAAGACAAGCACTGGGAGTCGCTTAGTCCTCTTTCTGGCAGAGTGGGCACTCAGTGAACGGAAGAGGATGTCCTGAGACAATACAAGTGGAGGCTGTGGGCCTTCGGGTATGTTTGAGAAACTGAGTCACAGGTACCAGAAAGAAATGAGAGAGGAGGGGCAGATTCACACATGCAGGAACAACAGCCCTTGAAATGAACTGGAAGTGGCTGGCTAAGTCAGCAATCCGAGAGCCGGGTTTAGAGGCAGGACCCTCAGGGTTCGAGTCAGCCCGAGTCAGCGTGGACAGGCGCTGACTAGACTCCAGCGCGACTCACTGAGAGGCAAGACAGCATCCCTGGTCCAGCCCCGGAAGCCCGAGCAGCAGCCACTGGGTGGCAGTGGGTGGCATTGTACAGCTTCCCGTTGCGATGTCAGGAACCTCAGTGGGGACAGACCAGGACCTGCCGTCTCTGCAATGAAGCCTTTCCTCCCCAACCTGTCTGCCAGCAGGTCCTACCTCCCCAGGGAAAGGAGTGACGACATTGAGTCAGACCATGACACACAGTCAGGGGTAGAATTGAAAATGCATTTAATTAATTTAAACACAGCTGATCAACTTGTTTCCACCTTAAGTCCCTCATCAGGTGACTCCTGAGGAGCTGAAATCTAAGGTTCAAAGGTACCAAGACCCTAATTCAGAGGCTCAGAGCCCAGCGTGTTTGGGAAGGAAAGCTTCACAGCACATGGTTTCAGGGTGCAAATGAGGAAGGATTGTCACTCAGGGTGACAGCATGCTAATTATAGGTAGGATGAATAAACAGTGGGAGAGGGGGTTCAGCATCCAGTGGTCGGCTCCTCCAGGGCTTGGCTGTGGACCACATTACTTCTGCTTGGTCTGCTGAACTGGCGCTGGGGTGACAGTCGGGAGACACGGCTCTGGCACCTTGGGGTGACACGGCTCTGGCACCTTGGTGNACCTCCAAAGTGCCCAGAGCCATGCCCACCTCAGCTGTGCCAGCAGAAATGCCCTCCTGTACAACCACCTCCAAAGTGCCCTGAGCCGTGCCCACCTCCAAAGTGCCCTGAGCCATGCCCACCTCCAAAGTGCCCTGAGCCATGTCCACCTCCAAAGTGCCCTGAGCTGTGCCCACCACCCAAGTGCCCTGAGCTGTGCCCACCACCCAAGTGCCCTGAGCCGTGCCCACCACCCAAGTGCCCTGAGCCGTGCCCACCACCAAAATTCCCTGAGCCATGCCCACCTCAGCTGTGCCAGCAGAAATGCCCTCCTGTGCAACCGCCTCCACCATGCCAGCAGAAGTGCCCACCCAAGAGCAAGTAACAGCTTCAACGCCGTCAGGATCAGGAAAGAATAAGAATTGGCTCATCTTGTTCTATAGCTGCGCCTCCATCTTTTCTTCAAAGCTCACCATTGACACAGAAGAGGCTTCTCTACCCTTCAGCCTCTAAGGTGACTGTGATGATTCCTAACAGCGAAGGGTTTCCTTCCTGAGGCTGTTATGTTGCTGCTGTCCAGGAGGAAGCTGAGAGAGGGCAGTCCTCAGCTGTGCCAACATCCCAGAGCATCAGCCCTCTTCCGGACGGCAGCAGAGGGGTCTAGCCATGGCTTCTGTGTCTGTCATCTGGGCAGGGGTTTTACCACCTGGGCAAATGTATCTTTTCTTCCCTTTCTTGAATAAAGTACACTTTTGTTTGTGATGGGATAAATATTGTCTTTTCTTTGAAACTTGCTTATTAGAGATATCGTACCATCATTGTGGTTTCTTTCTATCCTTGGATCTTAAGGCTCAGGATCTCACAATCAGTGTTACCTGAATTTTGAGTCATACCAAAGGTTACTTCTCTATCATTTCAAATACATGTTGTTTT